GCGGCGCTGTCGTCGCGCCACAAGGGAAACACATCGAAGCCTAAATCGCGCTATCAAAGTTCCGAAATTAAACCAGCATATATAGAATAGCTCCGAACTACCAATTGGAGCGCTGGCCGCTCCCCGGGCAGAACACCTTGCCCGGCGGGAGATCTCCCCTTTTCCTTCCACCCGCTACAGTGGTGACCAACCTACGTGATATGAACACGCAACCAACAATCTTCGGAAACGACAATTTCAAAAACTTCGTCATCTTACTCAAGTACCCCATTCATTCGCTCCCGAGCAGATATTGTCTGCAGTCTTCACATTCTGCAAGCCATCTAGCTTTACAAAAAGGTTCATCGCAGCACTGGAATAATAATGCTTCCTGTTCCTTCAAGCTACTCTCTGCGCTACAGTGTTCGGCACGGCTCTGAGCCTTACTACTCGCCTCTGCTTCACGGCACTCTCGCAGATTACTTGCCTTCTTCTCGACTCACCGCAGACTACAAGGCAATCCCTGGCACTTGCTCCGGCTCATCGTTCTCACCGGCATCACTTGCAAGTGCGTAGTACGGCATGCATTACACACCGGCATATCATTCGCACCGGCGTCACTTGCCCTTACGCACACAGCATGCATTCCCCACCGGCATTAAGAACGCACCGGCAATCGGACTGCACTATCGACCTCCGGTCTGAGCAGGGGGGTGATGTGGCGGCGCTGTCGTCGCGCCACAAGCGAAACACATCGAAGCCTAAATCGCGCTATCAAAGTTCCGAAATTAAACCAGCATATATAGAATAGCTGCGAACTACCAATCGGAGCGCTGGCCGCTCCCCGGGCAGAACACCTTGCCCGGCGGGAGATCTCCCCTTTTCCTTCCACCCGCTACACTTACCTTACATAGTAGGGGATAACAATGATATAGTATTATTTGCAGATGACACTTCTTTAATTTTCAAATTAAGTCGACAATTACTAAAATATGACGAAGTAAATAATGCTATATCTAAATTAGTAAATTGGTTCAATGTTAATAATTTGCATTTAAATGACACTAAAACGAAATGTATGAAATTCATGACTCCAAATGTCAAACAATTAAATACTAATGTAATTTTAAATGGGGAGAAACTGAGTCTTGTAGATACCACCATTTTTCTTGGAATCACACTAGACGCGAAGCTTCAATGGAGCCCCCATATATCAAAACTAGCAAGCAGAATTAGTTCTGCAGCATATGCTGTAAAAAAGATTAGAAGTCTAACCAGTGTTGAAACAGCTAGACTAGTTTACTTTAGCTATTTCCATAGCATGATGTCGTATGGTACTTTGCTATGGGGACACGCAGCTGACACTGAAATTATATTTGTTTTACAGAAGAGGACCATAAGAGCAATTTATGATTTAAAGCCTAAAGAGTCGCTGCGACAAAAGTTTAAGGAAATTAATATATTAACTTTGGCCTCTCAATACATTTATGAAAATGTAATGTACGTACACAAAAATAAAAGTATTTTTACAAAAATAAGTGATATTCATTCTGTAAATACTAGGAACAGACACAAGCTAGTAGTACCAGTTACTCGACTCCATCGAGTCAGTAATTCATTCTTGGGGCGATGTATACGCTTTTAGAACAAAATTCCAGAAAATATACAAAGTTTGACCTGCTCAAAGTTCAAAAACTTTATTAAACTAAGTTTGTATAAAAAGGGTTATTATAATATTAAGGAATTTATGGATGATAATAACCCCTGGAAATGAGGTGATCGCTACCAAGCTATTTCTAATTTGTTGTGTTGTTAATTTGTGTAACATCATGATTGTAAACTGTTATTTAAAAAAAAGTCCCGGTGGGTTTCTTGCTGGTTCTTCCCAGGACAGAGGTTTTTTCCGAACCAGTGGTAATCAAACAAAAGAGTGACTTTCAATAAGTATTATTTATAATCTATATTGAATAAAAAAGTTTCTGTTTATGTTTCTGTTCATGTAAAAAAAATAATTTTACCATTTGTTTAAAATAAAGACGATATTTTGTTCCACTTTTGCTTCTATTCTACGCCTGTGGCGCAGTGCCAATTGGGAGGGCTAAATTAAATAGCTCCTGAAGGACATTATGAAGTACCGATTCTTCACTTAATTGCAAAATGCATGATTGTAAACTGTTATTTTTTAAAAAAAATCCCGCTGGGTTTCTCGCTGGTTCTTCTCACGACAGAGGTTTTTTCTGAACCTATATAGATTATAAATAACCTGAAGTATTATTTATAATCTTATAAACGAGTTTCTGTTTCTGTTTCAAAAGCTCTGTTGTAATTCTATCCTCATCAAGTACTGTGCCATTTTTATGATACTGGGGAACCATTCTAATCTCATTCAGATTGACGTCCGTGCCTTCGTTGGGATAATGTTGAATGATATTTGCTCCCAATCTTACTCAAAGTATATTGCCTCTGAAGCTGTTGGTCTTCAACTTTGTCAACAACCTCCTCTAATTTATTTATGGTTTTTAATTAATGGACTCCACTCACCTTGAATAAGCGGAGCTATTTAATTCTAATATTTTTTGCTCGCACGACATGCATATGCTATTCTGCATCGCCAACCACACGAGTTTTTTAGATGTATTACAACATAACATAAGAAACAACTTCGACGAATTATAAATTTTGTAAAACAAGGTGAGATAAAGATGTCTTGATTTTCATCGTTCTAGCTTAATATTTTTCTGGAATGAAAATTCTTTGAATTTACGGAATGCGAGGCCAACAATAACAACCAACAATATTTACAGATACCAATTTTACTTTAAAGCCTCCCATTTGTTGTGGTGTGGGTATAAAATGATGTCCTTAAATTTGCCAGTTTTTCAGCTAGATGTTATTTAATTCTTGTAAAGGTTAAAGCGCTTCGTAGCTGAGTTATTCATAGGTAATAAGCAACTTACTTTTGTATTATTGTAACAGTAGGTTTGCATATATAATATGTGTCTATTCTAAGGTATGATATAATTGTCACATCATAAAGGAAAAGAAATCGTAGACAGAAATTCTCTAAATGACTTTTTTCTCTAAATATTTCCAACTAACGTGCAAAAGCTATTAATGTACGGTTCAATCAAAATCGTATTGATATCACAACAGAGCATAAAATAAGGTTTGTTCATAATATAGTATTACTTATATGTTATGTTCAATTAAAATTGTATCGACCGAAATTATTTAAAAAAAAAAACAAAGACTACTGGAGTTGGTACCTGCCGGTTTGTGTCTGAGGTTTTGCCCACCGGTGTAGATGTTGACGTTTAAACAAATCTGAATAGAACAAAAGTTTTTTTTTAATTGAATAAAAAAATATTGATCTCTACATAATTACGCAATACCCAATTATATAAAATCAACGGTTACTTTTCTTTATCACAAATTCTGCAATTTTCTAAATTCTTAAGTTAAATTCATTGTCTACATACTACAGTACTACAATATATCTATTTAAATAAATAAAATTGAACTGTCTGTTTGTAATGTCAAAATTACAGCTTTTTACTAAATGCATATGAAAGTATATACGGTACTAATAACAAAAATACAATTTTAAAGTTTTTGTCTGTCTGTTTGTCTGTCCGTCCGTCTGTCTGTCTGATTGTTCCGGTTAATCACCGAAACAGCTGGACCGATTTTGACGGAACTTTCACTGGTAGATAGCTGATGTCACAATGAGTAATTTGGGCTACTTTTATTTTAGAAAAATATTAGGGTTCCGCGCAAATAAATTAAAACCCCAAATAACACACGGGCGGAGTCGCGGGGAACAGCTAGTATAATAATATAATACTACACTATTCTATAGTTTTAAGTGACGCACATAAATAGTAACAATCATTAGTCAGATACAGTCTTAATAAAATCGATATTTGTTCAGCACGATCATTAATCGGTTATTCATCGGTGTTCCACGTCAGCTAAATATGTACCTGCGTTATACAAGATAGCTGACGTGCAACACCAACGCTTCGAGAAGTTCGCATTTTGTAAACATGTTTAGGATCGCCCTTGTCACTACATATTTGATAGGTCACAAATACCCGCAAAAGAAAACAGGTTGATGATTTGTGAAATAATTTCAATATAAAAAGTTACTTGACTGTTTTAATCGATAAAGTATCTTACATTTTATAAAATTAAATACAAACCCAAACACCACTGCAAAACTAACAAATACTGTAAGTCCGTTCTGCGTAGACCGCCATCAGGACGTTGAACACCTCGGTCCTCCCGTGACCATGGGTACTGTAAAGCACTCGAGACGTGGAGATTTCAAAATAAATCAAATTAAACTCGACAAAATAATTTCATTCTATGTTTATCAAACCTTCGCGTAAGTCTTTTATGTAATAAGTTTTATTTTTAATTATTATCCGATATGGTTAAAATTAATTTATATGGAGTGGAAGTATAGGTATTCTTTTTAATATTCATTTATGGAAATATGCCAAAGAAAATATCGTCGAATTTATAAACTCCCCGTTTTTCGAAGTTCCTTATAGCTATGATGTATTATGGCGAGGAAATAAAAGATGGACGTAACAATTTCAGAAAATCTTTAATTTTAATAATTGCTTTCTTTTTTCATCAACTATGCTGTACAAACTATATCGCTTAAATTAGAATTAGCAATTAATAATTGCACGTAAAAAAACTTAACAAATAGGTACTTTCAACTTTTCGATTGGAATGAACGATTATTACATTAAGTAAATATTTTTTACAATATATTTATAACTCTACAAAATGAAAATCTTCTATATTCAACAAGCAGTCACAATCGCCCAATGATATGTAAAATTATTTTTATCTTGTTTGAATTTTATTATTGCGCTCTAAGTATAAATGTTTTATTATCTGCGTTCTCTAATGTTCATGCCAAGTGGAGGGCGAGCTCTACGTACATAGCGAGATCAGGCGAGCTGGCGGATTCTTGTGAAAAGAGTTCACGCTTGACAATTTGCACACTACGCTACCAAGTTGCTTCTTTCCGTTGCGCCGGTTTTGTGGTTTTGGCTCTTGAAGTCCTTTAATCGAATAGGAGACGACTCACTGCCAGAGTCACCCTAAAAATTAATTAAATTTACATTTTAAGGAGTTCACTCTGAAAATTGGAATGTTACAATTTTAATGTCCTTCTGAGGACAAAGTTACTGCTGCTAGTCATTCACCGGCCACAGTACGATCGACTGCTCCCTATTACTTCAATATCCTTTTTAGATTAAGCAATATAACATTTATCAATATCACAATTGGTTTTTCAAACTCTAGTGCAGCATTCATAATAATTGATTTAAATACACAAAATAACAGGCAGGTAGAAAATTACATTTGGTACAAACCAACGTGGTAGAGCCATGCTGCAGCTATATTATGGTTGTAGCACGAATGGATCGGCTCGACCGGGGAAGGACCACGCTTTCACAGAAAACCAGCGTAAAATAGCAGCTTAACGCTGCTGTGTTTCGTATGGCGAGTGTAGAGAACCGGAGACCCTTTTTACTGGCAAAGAGGCATTCCTTCTTAGTCCTCACGGGTGACAACGCATCTGCATCTTGAGTATTTATTGAGGATAGATGTAGATGTCTATGGCTCACAGTAGCCACTTGCCATCGGGTGGACTGTGTGTCGTTTGTCACCCGTTCCTATAAAAAAAAAAACCAAAGACACCCAATATACGGGAATAAAGTACAAAAGCAAATTAAATGACAGTAAGACCACCTTAGGCGGGACATGTTTCTTAATATTTGCAACAGAAATCCAAGTTATGCATTAAAATTACTCTATTTATATAAAAATAAATTCTGAGAATATAAATACAATATAAGTATAGATAAAAATATAGCTTTATAAATTATATATTATAAGTTACATAACATAGCTCTATATAACAGGCCAGATGCGTAAGCATCTTATTAGTCTGTGCAGGTCAGTGTTTACTAGTAGAGAATGCCACAAGGTATTAAGTCCGCCCTTAGTGGAAGTCCTATTTGAAAGTGTTTGCAATAAATGATAACATAAATAAATAAATGCAGCATAAAATTTTGGTTAAGAGAGATTGGTTGTAATTCCATAAAAATTTTTCAAAGTGTGTTAGTGTTAACGACAGAGCACGCTACAGAAAGTTAGCTTAAAAAGGGATTAAGTACTTTTGCAGAAAATTATTTTTGAATAGGCATTTTAACTAGCACGTGGGACGTGGGTGGAAGCTTTCCTAAAGATACGAAGAGTTGAAGTGATTAAACAATACATAGAAAAAAAAAGACAGAATATAAACAGTTTGGCGAAGGCGCATTGTTGATAAATCTAAAATAGACATTTTGAAGAGAAGAGACTGCAAGACAATCCTTAATGACGATGGCGATTGGAAGAAGTTCCGAAATCTTTTTAAAAATCTTGCAGAAGCAAAGAGTTTGTAGCTTACGTTAAAATTGAAGAATACTACTAGTTTACCTTGTATCCCAAGTTTAAAATTGATATATTGTAGTATACTTACCTCCTTGTTATAATATACAACCTTATTCATAATTGCTATAAACGAAGATATCTGTCATCCTAAAAATATTATTACTTGTCAATGAATTTTGTCTTTATAATGTATGTAATCTTTTATGTTGAATAATAACCAAATATCCATTGGTTTTGACTTTCTTTATCAATTTTTGTATAACGCCTTGACTTTATTGCAATTGGCTTTATGTTTGGAGAAAGGTTCGTAAACAACGATACAGGAGGTACTGACGCTTCCATAACACATATTTTTAAGGAATCCCTTGAACCCCCAAAGTTGAATTCTAATGTCTTGTGGCTTTTCAATAAATCATGTCCTAGGATAACATCTGCACATAGGTTATTGACAATCAGTAAAGGTTGATTTGAATATGTATGCTTGTCTAAATTTATCGTTGCATATGTAATGCCTTCTACAAAACAAATATGACTAAGGGAAGCCAAAGATATAGCATGCTTATGAGGTCTCATCTTTAAGTTCATATTTTGGGCTAATGTCTTATTTATAAAACTGACAGAACTTCCTGTGTCAATCAGAGCTTCAGCATGGAATTCATTAATCATAATAGGCACTGTCGCTTTGCTTAAGCTAGATGGAGATGCAGCAGATATATATTTGGTTTTAATATCATCCGCAACTTCACTGTCTACGGCATTTACAGTTGGTCTACCACTTTTGCAAACAGTAGCGAAGTGCCCTTTCTTTAAACATAATTGACATATTGCGTTAAAAGCAGGGCATTTTATGCGTTGATGTAGACTTTTATTACCACAAAAAAAACATCGCTTACGTTGACTTGCTGCATTGGCTATGCTGTAATTCTGCGTGCTACTTTCTGGTTTTTCATTGTAAGTATCAGTTACAGCATGTAATTGCATTTGATGATTATTGCAGTTTGTATAAGTTAAAGAATTTTTCTCAGCAGTTTCTAAAGATGTAGCTTGATTTTGGGCTTCCTCCAATGTCAAAGTTATGTTTTCTAAAAGCCTTTGTCGTATCTTTTGACTTGTGATACCCGATATGAAGGCATCACGAATATAGTCATTCTTATTTTGCTCCGCCGTTACGTTTTTTGAAATTACAGTCGTATGCTAATTGCCTGAGAGCTCGAATATATTCAGTAATAGACTCCTCGGGCTTTTGTTTTCTGATTGCTAGAGTATATCGTGCATGTATTTCATTTTTAGCCTTTATATAAATGCTATCAAGCAATTGAATGGCAGTCACATAAGAAGAATAGTCACGTATTAGTGAATAGACTGTCGGCGACAAATGGTTGATGAGCAATTTTAACTTAGTTGAATCTGAAATCTGATTTGATTGTTCGTGGCATAAAAAATTTGAAAATGTATACCGCCAGTGGCTCCATTTTAGGTCTGCTGCCGGTGTTTCAGGTTCGACATCAAACCGGTCTGGTCGAAGAAATCGCGACATCGTGTTTATTTCCGAAGAAGAACAGCTTGCATCGTTTATCGACATTTTAAAACAATTTATGTTGAATAAATTGATAAAGAAAGTCAAAACCAATGCACTACCACTACCACTACCTAACATTGAATCTATGGTTTCCAACGTTGCAAAATACAACTATTTCAGCCAAATTGATTTAAAAAGTGCTTATCACCAAGTGCCGATTTTAGAGACTGAACGAAAATATACAGCATTTGAAGCATGTGGGGCCCTATATCAATTTACTCGTATACCATTTGGAGTCACTAACGGCGTGGCTGCGTTTCAGAGAACGCTACAGTTCATAATTGAGGCTGAAAATCTTAGAGGCACCTTCTGTTATTTAGATGACGTGACTGTATGTGGCAAAAATTGAGACGAACACGATAAAAACTTGCAGCAATTTATGAATGCTGTGAAGAAATACAAACTTACGTTAAATGAGAAGAAATGCACTTTTGGATCAAAAAGTATAAGTCTATTAGGATATTACATTGAGAACAACGTTATCAAGCCAGACAAAGAACGATTAAAACCACTATTGGATCTCCCTACTCCAACAGATGCAGCCTCATTAAGACGTACTTTGGGTATGTTAGCTCACTATTCGAAGTGGATTTACAACTTTTCATACCTTATTAAGCCTTTGATTGATAACACACGATTCCCACTTAGTCAAGAAGCCATAAAATGTTTTAATATTTTAAAATTGGAAATAGCCAAAGCGTCCCTGACAGCTATTGACAATGATGAAACTTTTACAGTAGAAACCGATGCATCCGAGCATTCAATAGCTGCTACCCTTTCTCAAAATGGTCGTCCTGTAGCTTTCCTTTCAAGAACTTTGTCCAACACTGAACGCGGCCATTCATCTATAGAAAAAGAAGCAAGCGCAATTGTGGAAGCACTTCGTAAATGGCGCCACTATCTTATTGGAAGAAATTTTATTTTGATAACCGATCAGCAGTCTGTTGCTTTTATGTTCAATCAAAAACATTCAAGCAAAATAAAAAATGAAAAAATTGAACGGTGGCGCTTAGAACTGTCTTGCTATAAATACGACATAATTTATCGTCCAGGTCGACAAAATACTGTAGCTGATGCATTATCAAGAGTATGCGCTCTCATTAATCCGAATAAGCTGTATGAACTACATGACCAGCTGTGTCATCCCGGTGTTACCAGAATGGTACACTGGATAAGATCAAAGAATCTTCCATATTCTGTTGAAGAAATAAGATTAATGACAGCATCTTGTAAAGTATGTGCTGAGATAAAACCACGGTTCTGTCAATCGAAAGGCCAGTTGATAAAAGCTATTGCTCCATTCGAGAGAATAAATATCGATTTTAAAGGCCCACTCCCATCGAATACTCAAAACCGATACCTACTGACAATTATAGACGAGTACTCGAGGTTTCCGTTTGCGTATCCCTGCAGTGATTTATCGGCGGCTACAGTGATACGATGTTTGAAAGATCTTTTTCAAACTTTCGGATTTCCATTATACGTACATTCCGATCGAGGTACGACTTTTTTTATCAGAAGAGCTCAAAAATTTTCTAACGCAACTTGGAATAGCTACAAGCAGAACCACACCTTACAATCCTCAAGGAAATGGCCAAGTTGAACGACTAAATGGCACATTATGGAGAGCAATACAACTCAGTCTTCGTTCAAAGAATATGGATATTTTAAACTGGGAAAGCGTATTATCCAATGCGTTACACTCACTTCGGTCGCTTTTATGTACGACTACAAACGTCACTCCCCATGAAAGAATGTTCAATCATCCACGTCGTTCGCCTAATGGAAAATCTTTACCTACGTGGCTTATAAACTCTGGACCTGTACTCATAAAGAAAAATATAAGAACAGCCAAATATGATCCACTTGTTGAAGAAGCAGAAGTTCTTCACGCAAATCCAACTTACTCGCATGTTCGTCTCTCTGATGGCCGAGAATGCACTGTATCCAATAGACAATTGGCGCCCCTTCCTATGATTCGGATTAGTGAAGAGGAAAATGAAAATGGCCAAGATAATGGAAATAATATTCGCCCTGATATGAATACAAACAATGAGCCAGTAGAACCTGTACAATCTAAACAAACCGAAAATGTTCAAAATAACAGTACAGAGCACGATACAGAAAATAGCGGACTGCGCCGTTCCACTCGTGACAGACGGCCTCCCTCATATCTGCGCGATTATGTTGGAACTTCAAGGGCGGGTGATTGTAGTATACTTACCTCCTTGTTATAATATACAACCTTATTCATAATTGCTATAAACGAAGATATCTGTCATCCTAAAAATATTATTACTTGTCAATGAATTTTGTCTTTATAATGTATGTAATCTTTTATGTTGAATAATAACCAAATATCCATTGGTTTTGACTTTCTTTATCATATATTGATCTTGATTATATTGCTGGATGGATTATACTTCTATTCTCGATCTCGTGAACCGTTCTTAAAATATTATGATCGCAGCTGGAGTTAATTTAACACGTGTATTTTGTCATAAAAGCTACGCATCTAACTCGTTGATAGCGTTACTAGCAGAAGCACTATTACAAATGGTGAAAAGCATTATTAAAATTTTTTAAAGATCGTGGTAAAGTTGCGAAAAAATACTGATATCATATTGGAATAACGTACGTTAGCACCCAACGAGGTAGTCTCTTGCAGTAGCAGCTCACTATCAGTGCCGCGTGACTCCTTGTTCTTTAAAATGGATCGAGACCGCGAATCGCCTTCAAGTGGCCACCCTCCGCTCCCACGTTTATTGCCATTTTTACCTGTGCATGAATATAATGTAAAAGAACAATAATTTTATTCACAATACACAAAATTTAACAGTGGTAGAGCCACGCGGCAGCTTTTGCTGTCGCACGGATGGGCCGGCTCGAACCGGGGTGGTACCACGACCTCACAGATACCAGCGTGAAGTAGAGGTTTACCTTAGCGTCTCGCTTGGTGAGTGCAGGTGCCCGGAGGCCCTTTTTACTGGAAATGAGGCATTCCATCTTAGTCCTCACGGGTGACAACGCATCTGCATTTTGATTCGCAAACGAGGATAGATGTAGATGTCTATGGGCCGCAGCAACCATTTACCATCAGGTGAACTGTGTGCTCATTTGTCACCCTTATCCTATAAAAAAACAATAGGAGAAGCTTATAAATAATATTCGATTAAATATTTTTACTTTTACCAATATTTCGGATTTATTTTTCACCTATCTTTCTCATTAATATACGTTACCTATTACATTACACATACCACTAGAATAACATATTTTGTGTAATTTAAATATATAACGTTTAAATAAATAGCTTGCACACATTTTAAACCTTACAGCCAACGTACGTGATAGCCTATACAGCTATCACGTACTTAACGTCTAAGATTTTTGTATAAAACCAGAAACTACGTTATGTTTTCTGGATAACATCAGTCTGGTAAAACTGATTACTTTATTAAGCTTACCAAATAGGATGTGATGATTGATTATCCTCGTGGCTATTCCTCTCGGCGGTCTCCTCTCCTCCTCCGACCACTCCTGCAAAAGACAACAAAATTCTATTACAGATTTGGTATGCTATCAGACCAAGTATCAGAAAGTTTATCAAGCCCAAAAACAAACAATTAGAGTACATGCAGTTTCTTATGATAGGACTACACGGTGCAAACATTTAGGGACGACGGAATGCGCTCAATCCAAAGGAAATAATTAAGACTAAAAATAAAAAAAAATCGGTTTGACGCTATCGCATAATATGCAATAAGAACACAGTTAACGGTTCTTTGCACTTCTACAATCCATTGCCTAGATGTCAGTTCCTACATCTTTTTGAAATTTACCTGCTGGAAGCGCGCTTTTCTATGTTTGGGCTTGGAGTCATCAGGTCCTGGTAGGCCGATGGCTGCCGCTCCCTCTAAAGGCTGCGGTAGGCTGGTGCGCGAGGCGTCAAGCGGTCTGGGCACCGGGACCCCCACAGCTGCCAAGCTGCCTCGAGAACTGCGCGGCGATCCCTCGCCCTGCGAACCTTTCGCACACAACACGCTTCCATCCCCAGACGCGCTCTTGCGCACTCCGTTAAATTCCACTGTATCACCTCCACCATTTCCCCTAGCGCCGCTGCCGCTACCATCGAGAGGATTCACATACAAGTTTGACGAGTCGTTCTCGCATGCGATGTCGCCCTCTGAAGGAAAAGGGTGCGTAAGGCATGATGCAAATGTATCTGCAATGTAAGACATATACGCACATGGAGCCGCGCATGACCGCCGAAAGAGTGGTCTACGCCGCTCAAACATAAAAAATACACATAATTAGGTGCTTAATGTCTACTGGAGTATAGTGAAAAAACACTTAATATAATAAAGAAGTGAATAATAAGGTAAGGCCACTCACTTTATGGGGTTACATTACAGTTTAGGATGCTTTAGTTATTGTTCTGAGGTTTAGGACTTAGAAAAATGTCAATAAATGTCAGTATAAATTAGGAATTTGCATTCCTTTATCTAAACAACTTAATCAAGCAATTGAAAAAACAGACAAATACACAGGCACGTTACAATATTGAACTTTGGCGTTTGTGTTGTGAGAGTGCCTGTCCATCAAAGCATTTCGAAGCGGCGAAATAAATATATTATTTTATTTTATAAAAGAATTGTGACTTCCAGACTCAAATATTTTGCAGTAATTTTTTAGGTGCTAGTGAAGAAAACAATGTTTATGTTTTATCTTCTATCGTTTTACTGTACTTGTCTATTTCAAGTGGACAATGTTACAATTAAAAGGAATGCTCCGATATGAATTAACGTTACAAATGAAAAAAGTTTTTTTTTCATTTAAATAACCGCAACCCCTGATTTGACAGACAGCCACGTTTTTAAATGGCTACATACCCGGACTGTCAAGGCTATTGGGCGTCGCTTCGGGCAGTGCTTTCGGCGCAGGGTGTCGCTGCAGGCACGCCAGTTCCACACACACTGGCTGCCGAAGATCCGATGTTGACATTGGCATTAACTGCTCCGCGTCTATGAACTCCTTGTATCCCTGTGGAAATAAACACATTCAAGTTTACATCTTAAAATATTGTTTACACAAGTAAGTTTGACAAACATACACTTCGTGCATCCATTTCTCTTCCCGTTCTGGTCACTATCATCTCACACATGTGTAATATGCTGCTAATAAATATTGGTGTCATGCGTGGGCCTTCCCTGAGAAGTAAACTATTAACGAACCGTGAATGAACCATGAATAGTATGTTAGCGTAAAATCCGTCAAAATCGGCCAGTATTGTTGAAAATAAATCATGGACTTTGCACGATGCACGGAGTTAAAATCGAAGATATATATTTACATATTTGACCCCGAAAGCATTTCCAAAACAAAATTGCCACTCTTGGTACCCGACTACAATCGACTGAGACCATGAAAATTCGTTGAAGGAGCTGAAAGGCTTTACCGGACAACGCCTATAAAAAGTGTTCCAAGGACTCTAACAACCTTGGCCTACTTATATGTGTACATATTAACGTTTAAAGCGATAAAATAAATGCCATCAAAAACATAACTTGTAAAAAAAAACCAAGTCTTGCAACTTAGTTCTTCTACCGTAAAAAGTTATGAGATCCATGTAATTCCAAGTCGGTTAATATATTCAGTCCCTACTTAAGGGTCCTTCTGTCTCAAGTTGTTACGTAATTAGCCAACCTAACAACATCTCACAGTGACCACATCAATACTAAAAATCTTTTATATTTTAAATAAATAGATTGACTTCTCTATCTCTCCTCTCTCTCTCTCTTTCCTATCATCAGATTATTATGCAGTACCCATCTTTGAAACAGGATGATTAAAGGTGTTGAAAGTGTAATGTGCAATATGATGTATTGTTTGGTTCATATTTTATGTTGTGTCAATATCAGTAAATCTTGAGAAAACTAAAGGATATTAGCCAGACAAAAGAGTATCAACTCAAATAACCAGCATGACGCGTATATTTTCTCATATTTGCAAATATCGTTTTCACCTCAGGGATGAATGTATTATAACTTATCATCATCATCGTCATCATTACAGCCCTTCACAAGTCTCCTCCAAAGAATGCCACAAAGCACGGCCCTGATCCACCTGCATTCATCGACTTCCTACATGTCTTACCAGGTCGTCCCTCCATCTAGTGAGAGGCCGCCCCACACTTCGTATACCGTTACGAGGCTACCACTCGAGAACTTTGCTTCCCCATCGTTTGTCGATTCGTCGAGCTATAAGGCCGGCCCATTGCAACTTCAGCTTACTAATCCGTTGGGCTATGTCAGTTACTCTGGTTCTACTGCGGATATCCTCATTTCTAAGTTTATCACGCAGAGAAACGCCGAGCATAGCCCTCTCCATAGCTTGCTGAGCGACTTTTAGCTTCTTCATACGGCCAGCAGTGAAGTATCATGTCTCGGATCCATAAGTCATGCAATACCCACTGGTTGTTCAATCTCCTTTTCAAGTTTTGAGGCACACCTGACGAGAAGAAGCCGATTTGAATCTGTCGATTGACCTTTCGGTCAAAGTTCGACTTACCTAGTCGGACTATTTTTCCCAGATAAACATACTTGTCAACAACTACCGACGGACGTTACACATGATATTCGTTTTGACCATGTTCATCTTAAGACCTATCCGTTGGGAGGCACTATTGGGGTCATTGAGTATAGTGCTTAGGCCCTCTAGCGATTCTGCCATAAGGACCATATCGCCGGCAAGTCAAAGGTGAGTGATGTACTCGCCATTGATGTTAATCCCGTATCCTTTCTAGTCCAATAGCTTGAAAATGTCTTCCAATTAAAAAATGCAGCGGTGAACAGTTTTGGGGGTATAACGTCACTCTGTCTTACACCTCTCTGCAATTGGATAGGTTTCGTACTCTGGTTTTATACACGGATAGCCATCGTAGCCCTACTGTACAAACACTTCAGAACTTCGATATACAGTCAACCGACAGTCAACATATTAAAAAAAAAAAAAACGTTACTCCCGCACTAGGATTTTCTCCTGTGTCATGGAGGCAGTTTACAAACATAAATTGCACGAGGACAAACATCCAGACCAATTGGCCATAAAAATACTTGTTCCGTGCGGGATTCGAACCCGCGGCCCCAGCGCAGCAACTCATTGCTAAGCAACTGCACGTAGCCGTCATCGCATATCATCGCTGAAGGGTCCGCAGCATCGCCCAAATTTCGACGGAATCAAAAGCTTTCTCATAGTCCACATACGTAAGATAAAGTGGCAGATTGTACTCTACCCTCTTCCATACTATTTTCTGGAGAGTATGTAAGTGATATAAGGTGCTAAAGCCTTTTTGGAAACCGGCTTGTTCGGGAGGCTCGAAGCCGTCGAGTCTGCGTGCGGGACGATTCGTAATAACTCTCGAAAGCTGCACGTAGACGCGGCTCAGAATGGGAATCGGTCTGTAGTTTTTCAAGAGAGCGTTGTCGCCTTTCTATAAAAACGAGACCACCGCACTTTTGCTTCACGGCTCCGGAGTAGTGCCACCAGGCACCAGGTATCCTGAGGAGTCCGGTTCGGTGACTAGAGGGTGGAATGAAAGAGCGTTTGAAGGACTTAAGTACCGGTTTCCTTCCCGATTTCAGAAGCTCCGTTGTAATTCTATCCTTGCGAGGGACCTTTTACCATTTTTATGGTGCTGGAGTGCCATTCTAATTTCGCCCAGATTGATGTTCGGAGTATTATTGGAATAGTATCGGATAACACTTGCTCTTGGATCGTTAGTCACACTTGCATGTAGCTCCAACGATGGCGTGTACAGCTGCCCATAGAACTTTACAACTTCACTCAAAATCCCAGGTGTTCCGGAAACAATGCCCACATTCGGTCTTCAGCTTCGACATTTGGGTCTTTCTAACAGACAGATCTATGGAAATGACTTTGGAATTGGACTCTGGTTTTGCTCGATTGGTTCTTCAATACGAGCTATATTAAAGTTGCGTAAGACCCGCCGCTCGCATTTGGAGATCTGTCTTTTCAGTTGATTGTATGCTATCAAATCTGTTGAAGACTGCAGCTCCATTTCCCGTCTAACAGCCATGAGATTAAGAGAATGATCGGAGAGATTTTGTGTTCTTCTGCGGTGGGTCTTGCAAAACTTAGCTCCGACCGCATGGACAGTTTACACTAGCTTGTCATTCATATCGTCCAATAGCAGCCTTCTAGGCACTGAAAACGATTTTGTAACTCGAGCTGAAAGTTTCCGGGGCTTTGGATTAAAGCACAAGGAGGGGGGGAGGGTGGAGCCTATGTATGGATACCTAATTCACAGATATCTGTGCACAAAATACGCATGGCTAATTGAAATGACCGCTTACTATCTAATAATTGGATCTATGCTGGTAGTCACCATCTTCATTGTCATGACCTTCATTATATCCCATCATAAGTTTACTATTAAAATTACCAAAACGCGCGATCCTAAGATATCTGCATGCGTTATTTTCCTTCATGCCTTATTAGTTCGTCACTCTACGTAGTAGGTGGACACCCCACGTTGAACTTGTCGATAAGAAGCTGCCACTTGAGAAAGTTTCTTCTCTATTAATTGTCACTTCTTCTAGCTCTATGGCTGGTCCATTTCCAAATATGCTAATAAATAAAATTTTCGCTTTTGGCCCTCATACGTAATTTATCAGAGTTTCAGTAACATGGTAGAGCCATTGCTGCAGCTATTAGTAGTATAATTGTAGCACTAGTGGGTCGGCTCGACCGGGGAAGGACCACACTGTCACAGAATACCAGCGTAAAATAGCAGTTTAACACTGCTGTGTTTCGTATGGTGAGTGTAGAGAACCGGAGACCCTTTTTATTGGAACTAGGCATTCCATCTTAGTCTTCACGGGTGACAACGCATCTGCATGTTGATGCGTAATCGAAGATAGATGTAGATATCTATGGGCCACAGCAATCACTTACCATCAGGTGGACTGTGTGCTCGTTTGTCATCCTATCCTATAAAGATAAGCTCCTTCCTTGTGAAAAAACACCAGCCGTAATTGATTTGTGCGTGATTGTCATGCCTAGCGATGACTAATGGAACTCATGGAGAAAAGCTGCGAAGGATTTCCTAACCAGACCAAATTAAATAATTTTGTTTTATAAATTTTTGTTTTCTGTGTGATTGGCATATAACCAAAATTAAGTTATATTGATCATGTTGACTCGATTCATCTAGACTCATATTATTATATAATAAAAATTTGTAAGTAGCTAAATTACTAAATTAACGTTCACGCTACGAACACTACATTCACATTAAGAAAGCTTGATAAAAATAAGCGATTTATTTAAGACAATGAAATAGATTAGTGTCGCTTATATACACTATGCGTACATATATCATTATTATATTAGAATATTTTAATTTATTGTTATTATGAAACTAGTTTTTTCCCTAAGCTATTCTAAGCCATTGCTTGACTACTATCCCATATAAGGGTAAGTGCTTAGCTTAACGAAAGCTAAGCACTTACCAGTACTTAGTTTAAATAAACTTTTACCTTAAAGGCACCTACATTGCAATCAGATGGGAATACAGATTCTAGGAAATTATTCCACTCCTTTGCTTTACGCATGACGGAGCAAACTATTTGTCTCGAATGCGTTGTATTTTGGTTTCAACCAAATTTGGGCATCAATAAGCCTTTTAGTTCGCCTTTCTATTTCTTTGCTCGGACTTGTCTACTAATCATGTCGCTGTATATTTAATATGAAGCAATGCTCGTCATTAGAACCAACTAGTCTGATGTCCTTATTTGAAACTTTTTTGAAACTTGGAAAGTTTCAAAAATAGACATCGGATTAGAGGTACAAAAATAAACTTTACATCCCAATTAGTTCCCGAATATCTCGATTAGTACTTTGTACCCGAGTTCTAAAAGGTTAAAGGATTTAGCGTAACGCACATATTTTAGCATGAATAATCAAGATTAAAGAAAGATACATTTAAGGACTTTTTCTCTGATAAATTCAGTTTTATAAGA